ATGGCGAGAAAGTAGAACAACGAGTACAGGCAGTTGATCCGTTAAGTGGTACAGAACAAATTAGGGCCAGTCATTTGTTAGTTAAACATGAAGGAAGTAGACGTCCTAGTTCTTGGAAAGAAGTTAGTAAACTTGATTTATATATAGTTATGCCATTTAATTATATATTTACCTATGTGTATACACACATATATGCTTTAGCCAACGATAAAACGCACTAAAGAAGAGGCACTTGAATTAATTAAAGCCTATCAATCTCGAATCAAATCTGGAGAAGTTACCCTTGATGAACTTGCTAGTACGGAATCTGATTGTTCAAGTGCTAAACGTAATGGTGATTTAGGATTTTTTAGTCGAGGACAAATGCAACCTGCTTTTGAAGAAGCTGCATTTAATCTTAAAGTTGGGGAATTGAGCGAGCCAGTTTGGAGTGACAGCGGCGTTCACTTAATCTTAAGAACAAGTTAATACAAGTACTAGAGTTTAGAACCGGGTTATAATAAACCGGGTCGCCCGTGTCAAAACGATTCAACCGGGTCAAAAATTTACAACTCGGGTCAAAACGGTTGAATACGTAACCTTTAAAAATTTGGTACTATTACACAGAAAACATCACAAAATTTAGCACATTATTATTGTATTGTGAATAAACTCCCTTTTTCTCTTACTAATGTTTAATCCCGCTAATCTGGGTTAAAAAAAAAGTTACAAACTTTTGGAGGCTACTATACTATCTACTGTTGCCTTTGTATAAAATTTCTTTGCTTTGCTAATATGTAATACACGTCCGATAGTACCTAGGAATTCGTAGCGCTGTGCTATTGATCCAAATCGATTGGAAAAATTTTAACCAACTAATCGTTGATTGATTATCTACATAATAGATTTTAAGTATTAAATTTCTTTAGCCAATCAATTTAATACAAAAACATGTGATTATTTATTTGACCAATCAAATTTATCAAAAACATGTGACAATTAGTCAATTAGTTGCAACTAATCGGCAACTAAGTTGACAACTAATCGATTTGAAATTTTTGGAATTTGTCACTTGATCACCCGGTTCACTAACAAAAACAACTACAAAATACACTAAATAGGATCTTGCCCTGGTTTCTAGCATCGCTAAACTGGTCCTATATCCTTTCTTTCTTTCTTCGATATCCGAGCTGTATAGTCGGGCTATCGAAGCACTAACCTTTGATATCCGGGCTGAGCACCTAGGCTATTGACCACTTATAACTTCCAAATACCCTAATACTAAATACTCTCACCCAGCGATGGGTAGGTGGGTGTTAATGATGAAGCTAGATTTCTGTCAAGCTAGTAGCAAAGACAAAAAAAGAAGACCCAAATTCTATCTTTCTCCTCTTATATAGCCTTTTCATGACCTCATACTTACCACTACTCAATCAACCCAACAAAACCCATCACCAATACATCATACTTACCATTGCTCAATATATTTTACTTACCATTGCCCAATATATCATAGTTACAAAATGATTTACAAATTATCATCCTGTGTTATGGGATTGGGTTGTGATCTTGTAACAAATAAATAGTCTGTGACTTCATTTATGGTATCTCATTTGTCATTTGATTATCCGGTTCACTAACAAAAACAACTATGAAATACATTAAATAGGATTATCAAGAGAATCGAATTGCATTTTTTCTCTTTATACTGCTTATGCATATATAACTTATAACTCTCAATTAGAAACCTTATATATAAACTTTTAAAAACTTATTTTAACTAAAGCTTCCTCTTTTATAGTCTCTAATACTCTTAGATACAATATAACTGCTTTCGAATCTTAACTTCTGATAGTTCTTATTTGTATTAACAATATATCTTCTCTTATCCCTTAAATCGTCTAGTGGTCAAATTTGGCTACTTAAATTTTTGATCTATTTTTTTCATTTATTCTAAATTTTGTTAAGCTTCACCTTCTATTTTCTAAGCTAAAATAAAAGTATACAGCATGTTGGTTGCTATATAATTTCCAATTTATGAAATTTCTTTAATGATATATTAAAAATTGATTATTTGTTATAGATTATAATAGAATGTTGATGTTTAAATTTTATACTAAAAAAAGAATCTGCATATGATATATATAAAGATTCTTTACAATTGTCACACAGAAATATTTTTTATAATACAATATTAAAGTTGATCAAAGATTCTTTATGATCAACTTTATACAATTAATTTTCGAGCTATTGCTATAGAGATATGGTGGCTCAAAGTTTAGATCAAAATGCATGTTTTGTGGCTATTAGGTGAAGTTTTATTTTTTGTTTAGGTTATATGAAGTGCTTCACATTGTAACTGTGAAGTATGCTATATGATTTGAATCTTTGAAAGTCATTACAGCTAATTAGAATAGAGATTTTACTATAAAAAAAATTTTTTTAAAGTTTAAATTTCTTTTAAAAATTTAAGTATACAAATTTGAATATTTAATTTGATAGTTTAAGAGATAGCTATTATCATATTATCTATCCTTAAACTGTATAATGTAAAACAACCTCTAATTTCTGTATACTCTATTATATGTTTTATTATTGCTAAAACTGCTGCTACCAATATTTTTCTACTATTGTTTGATAAAAACAAGAACCTATCTTCTACTATATAAGGTCTCACTTTTATATTTTTAATAATCTTACTAAGCAAAATTTACTACTTGTAGACTCAACTGGCACAAACCTTCTATTTACAAAAAAGTCATTTTTAGCTTTCCTTATCCTTAACCATATTAGCCCTGATCTTTGTTTCATATCCTTCAATCTTAATTTATACAACTTTCTTAGCTTATACATTATATAAAAATCTATTAATACTAAAGCCAAATCTTTATATTACATTATCAGATTCACTTTCTCTGAAAGATTATTATAGTATTATCTTAGTGTTTTCAAAAAAAATAGATTTCATGACCACTTCGAATCATGGTTCTAAGTTTTTAACAACTTGATGTCTCTGACCACCTCTTTTATTCTAAAATCTTTTATCAGATTACTTAGCACTTTCTCCTTATACAATCTACTTATTGCTCAAGATACTCATATACCTTATTAATATACCTGCCAACTCCAACTATCCCAAAAACACTTAACTATATTGACACTTGCTAGATAATCTGCACTATTCATCTATCTACAAAACTTCTCAAACAATTACTACACTTTAACTAACCAAATGACTGGCCCTAATTTGTTCTGTACCACTTAACGGATCAACTGCCTGTACTCGTTGTTCTACTTTCTCGCCAT